AGTTGGTGCGGGAGAGCTGCGAACCCCGCGGGGCTGCCCGTGGCCACGCAGCCCTGCGGGAGCCGGGTGCGCTTACCTGGGCCGCTGAAAATGAGAGTCTGGTGCGTGCCGTGAGGTCTCGTTATTGCGCTGCAAAGGTCACTCGCAGGGGCTGCACAACACGAGAATAATACGTGATCACAGGGTGAAGCTGCCAGGCAAAGTACTCGGAAATGGGGAATTGTTCAGTTGTGTCAGTGGAGCTCCTACATGGTACGTGAGCCAGTCTCTAATTATGCTTCTTGGGTTCTCTCTGGAGGAGCCCTGCCCCATCCACTGCAAAGAAGCAGACAAGGGACATGGTACTGCTGTCAAAGACTTCTGTTGTCACATGGAGTTTGTCTCCTTCCATTTTTCTAATAACATTTGAACGTGTTTTTTGTTTTCAGACAGACCTGACTTCTACAGAAGGGTTGCTTCAGAGATACCTGTTTTTCACAAAAACAGAGTAGAGACCAGGTAGTTTGTGGATGCCCTTTCCATGTGAATATATCCATGATGAGAAAGGTTGCTTATCCCATCCCAGACAACAAAGAACCCACATGGACAAGATGCCTCATAAAATTCTTCACTGTGGGAAAATCATGAATGGAAACTTCCATATTCTTAAAACTCAAAGCTAAACTGCCATGAGCCAGGTATGTGTAAGAAAAAGAGGCCTCCTTAATTCTTTTCATCAAAGCACTACTTATTTACTGTACAAAAATTGTTAACACTTTTACACTGTTTGCAGCATTATGCACATAGGAATTTATGAGGGAAATGTTATGATGCCATATAGTCTTTATTAACTCATTTCATTGCTGGCAGCTCTGTCCCTTCATAACCTTTGCCCCTCCCCTGGTTGAGACCCTGTAAGAATACAGAATCAGCTTCCTAGTTTTATAATCCCATTTTACTAATAGAAGTTGGAAGCAGTAGCAGAATAGGGCCTCAGTGGTAAAAACATCCATATCTTTTAGGCTTGAATTGCTACATGAACAGCATTTTGACAGGATGAGAGAATTGGGGCTGTTCAGACTAGAGAAGAGAAGGCTCTGAGGAGACCTTGTAAGGGCCTTCCAGTACCTGAAGGGCCTACAGGAAAGCTGGGGAGGGGCTTTTCACCAGTGTGTGTAGTGGTAGGACGAGGGGTAATGGTTTTAAACTGGAAGAAGGTAGATTTAGGTTGGATATTAGGGAGAAATTCTTTACTGTGAGGGTGGTGAGACAGTGAAACAGGTTGCCCAGGGAGGTTGTGGATACTCCCTCCCAGGAAATGTTCAAGGCCAGGTTGGATGGGGCTTTGAGCAACCTGGTCTAGTGAGAGGTGTCCCTGCCCATGCAAGGGGGTTGGAACTGAATGATCTTTAAGGTCCCTTCCAACCCAAACCATTCTGTGATTCTATGAATTGTGAAAGCTTTCCTCTCCCTGAGCAAAGCTCTTATTGATAGTAGTTGTGCTTATGAGTGCCTAGCACCCACTGCCTTTAGGCTGTGTGGCTGACTGGATGGCAGGTCACATGCATAAGCATAGCAGTCTGATCCTCTGATCATGCAGAAGCTTGACCAGATTACCCCATGAAAAAAAGGTAAAAGCCTCTCAGTTACAAAAAGGGGATGATGGACACACACACCTTTCCTTGAAGACAGTGCTGGCATGCATCTGAGGTCTGGACCAAGATGCTGAGGAGTGCTTAGACACTGTCTTAGGAGCCAGAAAGGAGAATAACTTCACCAATTGGTTCATAGTTCCATTCCACTCATACCAGTGCGTTCTGAAAGCAAATCACTGCTGCCCACCTTGTCAGCATCTAGATATCTGTGTGCTGAAGTCACTGTCCCTTAGCTCAAAGACCTGAAATTCCCTGTGAGCACTCCCTCTTCTGTAAAAGGGACCTCAAAGGCAAAAATCCATTATGTGACTCTGCTGAGCCCACTTGGGGTGAAGTGTTATACACACTTTGGTCTTCTGCATTAATTAATTATTCAGGTGAACTGGTGTGTGAAACTCCCCAAAACTAGGATTGGTTTCATTTAGATGATCCTGAATGGTACGTGAGCAATGACTGTGTTGCCACAGAAAGGATCCCAGTTTAAACCACTAAAAGTCACAACAACCTCTGAGGCCTTGAAAGACAGGCACTGTTCAAACAAACAGGGAGTTTCAGCCCTTAGTGAATTACAATCTACATGTCAAATAGTTACTGATTGTGCTGAAAAACTTAGACATGAGGTGACATTCAGTGTCATGCAGCCTCATCACATTCCTCTGTTCTCTTTATTTCAATCATTTGTGTTCTTATCTCTCCATCTCAACATGCCTTCACTTTTGCACCTCTTTTCCCCCAAATATTTATATATAAAGATAAATTGTGATAATCTGCAGCTGTACCTGGTATGGAGTTAAAGATGTTTGTAATGCTACAGGGCAGCATCTGTATTACACTATCTTCTTAACAGACTGTGACTAGATTTGTTTCAGACTCTTCTTGCTTTCCAACATAGTTTTAAACTTAATTAGAAATGTTGTGGGTGTACATCTGAAAACTATTTTAAATTATTATCTAAGAAATGTGAAAGCAGTGTGAACACACACATTTTCATCTTCAACATTAGATCACACTAGACAATTGCTTATAGGTTAAGTCTTATTCTTCATTGTAATATTATGGACCAGAAGCATACATAAGTAGAATGGACCACTTTTACTTCAGAACTGATAAACTCAGACCTTTATGTTCCTAGAAGCTTCTAATGACAACAATAAAAAAAGATGCTCCTGTGATTAAGGGAGCACACAAATACTATAATTTATTTAATAAATTATTTCCTGTACTGTGAAAGTCCTTACTACATGCAAATAAAGTCAGGATCCTGCTGTGCTGGACTCTGTGGACTCCCCTAAAAAAGGAGGTCTTCCTGCTGTTGAGCAGAGCTCAGCCATGGAGGGCTGTGGGACCTAAAGTATATGTTCTCTGTTTTCATCTATTGTATTTTCTTTATAACTGAGCTTTTAATACTATTCTACCCATGAGGAGGTCTTTCAATGGCTAATTATGTACATATGCAAAGAACAAGTGAAGCACAAAAGGATCGGCAGATACATAAATGATAACTTAAGAAAATAAACAAGCACATTTAACTAGCAGAAGAAAGACCACCACTATAAGAACTAAAGAACTTACCTCTCTGGGGAACTGCTTTTTGACCTCTCTGGCTGCTTAACTGAGCACAGCCTGGAGTAAATATGAGGAACTCCTCCCCTTTTGGTGTTTATTACAGAGAAACAATACTTCCTGTGACACCTGAGTAAATATCCTCTAGGAAAACCACCACACAGTTTGTTGACAACTAGCTTATTTTTCCTTTGATCATCAATACCATCCACCATAATGAATTACCAGGCATGCCAGAAAGCATGAGCTGTTTATTGAATGCATGGGTTCCTCTGAAGCAACCCCGAGCTTTACTAGATATTTTTTTTAGTTGATCAAAAGAGCTTTGTAACCCCTTTTGAATGTCTTAGATGTGTGATCCTTGTAATCATATTTAAGGGGCTGGTTAGCTCGGGAGATTGTTAATAGGATACGAAACCTTTTACATCCAACCCAGGTAAGTACAGATGAAAACTTGTGACTATTTAACAGCTCTTTCATGTCCTATGACCTAAGCCAGTTCCTAAAGGAAAAATGTCTGTATTAGTTTACATTTACAAAATGTGGTTTTCAGGCTTTTTTAACTGCACATGTAATACAGAACATTTGACAAACAGGAAAATAATTAGAAAGCTCTGTGGTAATCAATAAATCAAACTAAAACTGCAATCTAAAGAATTTTCATTATTCCAACTCAAAAACTCTCTCGACAGTTTTAACAGGCCCTTAAGTACAGGTGAGGGTTATATTAATCAAAAAGGAGGATTTGCTGGAAAGTAGAAGTGATTTATAAAACTGTCAGTTCTTCACTAAAATTTCATTGTATCAGCCCAGGAGCTGCACATCTAGCACATAAGTATTGCCTTTGAACAGTGGTGGCCCAACTCACACTTACTGTTTTATATCCAGTAGGAAAAAAACCTACAAGCAAACATATGCAAGGAATTGTATTGAAATGTCACACCTGTTTCTGCTTTGCAGGGTTTTAGGTAGCAAAGTTTTAAGGTTTTGCAGGTATTGGTTTCCATCTAAGGAAGTCTTAAGTCAGACCCAGAATTAACTCAGATCTCAAACTCAATTGAAAAAAAATGTTCTTAATTAATTTCTTAAAAATAAAATAAGAGGAAAAGAGGTATGGAAAATTTGGAATATAAAAAATTCCACAGATGTTCTAAAAAAATCACAAGAGAGAAGGGCTGGGGCCAAGAGATAGATGCAGAGGAGATTTGTGCTTCTAGTATCAGCAGTTACTTAAAGAATACGCTTATCCCTTCCTTGGAATGCACTGATGACCAAAAATAACCCTAAAGGATTTTGCTTACGTGCAGTGATGTGAACTAGTAAGAGGGCTGGACATCTAAGGATTGCTGCTTTCTGCATACCTGGGTTTATTGTGAAGTGCCAGTCTTGAAAATGTGCAGGTAGAGATTTGGGACTGTAGTGCTGGCATTTCCAAGTGTGCACAACAGACCCCTCAGAGTCATGAAGGTGGCTTGAAAACTGGGATTAAAAAACTAAACTAAGCAATAAACACGAGTCATGTGGTAATATTCATCCTGTGGCTTATGCTGTTAATAAAACAATTACTCTACTAACTGATTAGAGACTTCAGGTTTGGCATTTTATTTTATTTTTTTGCAAAATAGTTTTCCATCAGTTGTACAGAGGATTTCATTTATATTGTGGAGTAGCAGTGCCTATATTCTACACAATCCAAGTGAAAAAAAATGGAATAGATAAACTGTGTATTTCTTTATAGCTGTATTTCTCTGTAGCCCCTGAAGCTCTAGGTAATCAGCAGTCAGGCATAAAGAAAAATACCCATTAAACAAATATCACCATAAACATTGCTGAATACAAATCTACTTTGTTATGTAAATAGGACTGTGAATAATGGAGTGTAAGCAGCATCAATGTATTGATAATTCAAACAATTAAATTCATGTTTGGTATATACATCTAGTCACCATCTGTGCTGTTCTGGTATGTAGTTACAGGAGAGCTGGATAAACCTTTAACTAAAAAAAAAAAATCAACCCAGCAGAATCTTTCTATAAGGTTTTTTATACTTCTTTTTTTTTCCCCACCCTGAATTAAAATAAGTCCTAAAACCCAGAAACTGTTTAGTTTAGAGGCTCCTACATAATATATACCTGTACAGCATGTAGCACCCAGTCTCCCGAGTTCCTTGCATTTCAGGTGCTGCCACTTAACCATGTTGATTAATGGGAAAAATAGAGGTATTTACTTAACAGGTGATAAAAGAAGGCTCCGCATTGCGAAAGCATGTTGTTTCTTCTGCTTCTGAAAGGGTCACAGCGCACAAATGGAAGTCTTATCCAGTAATGATAGATGGCATTTTGTATGAGTGAGAACGAGGAGGAGTCAGTTTTGTTCAGTAGCCAGAGCACATACATTTCTGTACAGAAAGTTGCACATGGGATCACCCTGACCAGTAGGTCTCCATATCAATTGTGTGCTTTTCTTCTACCTGGGGTGATTTTTTCTTTTAGCCTTTGCTAGTGACAGAAGATTCTCCATGTTCACCGTTCCCATAAACACCCATCATAGTTCTTAAAATTTAAATTTCAGGCACTAAAGACATTAAGACCAACTTCTCTCAAGAATGAATCATTTCCAGTGGCCTTGGCAGAAGTCGCAGGGCACCAACTCCCTAATCTGTAGATTAACTGGACGTTGAGGTTACCATTTGGATAAATTAAGCTTCTAATCCTTGTAATATGTAAGGAACTGTAAAATTTAATCTAAATATTCAGGAACAAGATGGAAAAGAACTATAACCTAAGAAATTTCATTTTAATACCATACATTTTAAAGCCAGTTCACTGATTTTCAAGGGATGTGACCTGGGAGGTTGCAAATGTGAAGCTGGAAGTACTCAAATTACTGTTTTTGGTAAATTTCAAGTTATCACATAATATGCAGAATTCTTTTAATGGATAAACCAAATGTCTCAAGCATTCTTTGTTATCCTCATTTTTTTCCCTATTTTTCACACATGCCAGGAACTTGATGTCAGTCTGGATCTTCCTCCCCTTGAAGCCAGAGATAGCAAGAACACTGCCAGGCTTCACACACTTCACAAATCCCAAAGTAACGACCAAATAAATAAACCCTAGAAAATTATCCTTTTCTTTCAAGCACAATAAAAAAGAGACAATTTGTTTGTGTCACACTAGCCCAAAATGAAGAATGGCAGCATAATCTGAGAATAACCTGAAAAGTTTGTTTTGAAGTTTTTCTCTAGGATTCTGCTGGTACTAATATTAATTCCTCAGCCTCCTAATCCAAAGGCACACCACAAATGAGTCTTGTAAACAGTTTCCTATTTGTGAGCCTGTCATTAATCTCTGAGGACGTTCCAAAGATAGCCCTCAGAGGATTTGGATTTGTCATCTTTTTCTTTCTAATCCAGTTAGGGGGTGTAGCAAACAGTGACACAAACAGGATTACAGTTTGCAGGGGCCCATGCCTGGTTATGTGAGCAGCACACAGACATGATCAGCTCCAGATTCCTGCTCTGCAGTTTGCTCACTTCCTGACTGCTTCTCCTCCTCCTTTCTAGTTGGTTGAAACCACATTTGAAAAAAAATAATAAAAAAAAATAATTTAAAAAGTTTTGGAGAAATTACTAGTTTAATAAGAAAAAAAACAAACCAGAAAGAAAAGGAGGAAAGCTGTATGACATTCTGATTTTTAGCCTCTTATCTGTTTTTATTACCATAAGTGTGTCCCAGTGTTCTCCCAGTTAACCATATGTAGCATTTCCAACACTTTATTCTCCTGAATGATGGGACAGCCTTGTCATCTCAGCAGCTCTCAGGAACAGAGGCAATTCCTCTCCACTCCTGCAGAGTCCTTCCAGCATTTCTGTGATGGTTCTTTTAGAGCTAAGTTGCCTCTAGGACTTTCCAGATAGCAAGCACTCTTTGAAATGAGAACATTGATTTTTAAACACTGAGGGTAATTTAAACACTGAAGTGAAGTATGAAAGGCACCACTAAATTACCCAGCTCACAACACCTTCAAATCAAGGCAAATAATTTAAAACAATGAGGAGCTCTTAAAACATCAAGAATTGTGTGTTCCTGGAAGTATTATTTGCATATTGATTATGGCAGAGGGTGTGCTAAATGGTCCCAGTTGCTCTATCCATTACTATCTCTCTCCATTATTTATGACTACTTCAATTTTTCCCATTAGTTGTAAACTTTATCAGAAAATATTTTATTCTTTCAAGTTGTTGACACAAAAAAAATCATTAGGGCTAAGACTTCTACAGACTTGCATTGGAAACATACATATCAGGATAGTTTCTCATTTTATATTAGATTCTGAGACCTACAATTAGCCAGTTTCTAAACTAATGCGCTGATGGACTGATTTTATAGATTCTTACGACTAATACATGTTATCTAGAATCACTGGCTTTGGTATTTCATGTAAGCTGCTATAGTTAGCAAGAGTTCACATTGAAGAATATGCCTGATAATAAGTTCTGTCAAAAACACTCAGAAGGCAAACAAGGTCAACTTAACCTCTCTATGTTTTTCCAACTAGGGTCCATAGCACATTATTTGTGCTATGCTATGGTTGTACTGTTTTTGTTGCTTATATACATTTATTATCTGAGATGGTTCAATATAAGTCATAACAGCAGAGCAATGTAAATTGTCTGGAGTAAGGGAAATAAATGAATAAGCTTTGAAGTTTTCAAGAAACAAGACTTAAATTAAGAAAAAAGCCAGCATTCAAAATCCCAAAGCCAACAGTCTAAACAAGCTTTTCTTTTTTCTCCATTACATTATCCAGATAGCAAAGACTGTACTGTGTGTGTATATACCTTTGCAAAGCTGATGTAAACTTATCTGGCTGTTCTTTAAAACATTTAAGTTGCAATTAGTGTAATGGTCCAGCAGTTACTGTGTTTAGCTCCTCTTCAGTGCCAGAATTAGATCTTTAGTTTGTTTCTTAAAATTGCTTTTTGAAAAGGATTGCTAAGCAAAACAGAGCAGAGGAGCCGTAACAGGTCTAACCCTGTACAAGTTTCCAGTCCTGGAGATGAAAATATTATTTATGTAGATGCTCTAGGGCACAGGTGAGTGGCATTACT